TAGCTCGTGAAGTTCCCTACAAATAATGTCTTGGGAGTTTTTCAGTCTCATGCTTTCTTTATTTTCTGCGATCATGTCTACAAATGGGTCATATATGACCCATTGGGGGGTAAAGGGTTAATAATCCACTAGTTTATAGTTCGTCATTCTTCTGCATGTAAAATACACTTGTTTATACCACTGTTAGGACATATTTCACTTGGTTTCCTTCGTAAAAATTTGCCACAATATGAATATGTAACACACCTTTTTTTCAAAAAAGAAACCCAGACAAGACAAGTTTCTATGATGCAAAATATTCTATAGGTCTCCTGTACTACTGCATAACTTGCAAAAGTCGAAAGGCCAATATTTTTATTCTGAAAGGTTGGCCATACAACAGCTACTAAGATAATTTTTGCTTGGCATTAGATACTTATTTAAAGTTTTTTTCCTAACGAATGACTTATAGAAATAGTGCTGTCAACTCATTTTAGAGTGTGGGTGTGGATATAAATGGAGAGGAGACTTTCACCCACACCCGCATTCACCCTCAAGCGGAAACTGATGTCTAAGTTGTGCATGATATTAAATCGAACGTGTCAATCTATGCATACACCACCGATAAATTATTCTTCTTTCTCACCATTGGGTCGGTTTTTTTTGCAATAGTTGTTCGACGGTGGATCTCCAGACGTATTGTATCACAGTAAGAGATACCCTCAAATTTATTTTTGCTTGAAAGCTAAAGCTTTCGTAAAATTTCTCAGTTATTGCAAGGACTTTTTTGGCTTCATGAATGTACTAAGGCTAGTGAAAAAAAGAAAATTAAAAAGAGTTACGAGAGTTACTAGAACCTGATGTCTTCTGTTAAATAAAAAAAATGTTATTGGAAATACGATAGATACCAAAAACGAATTTTATAAATATACTAAAATGACCGTAGCTTCCATTAAGAAGCAGATATAAAGTAGATTTTTTTGCTTTGTAAGAAGGTACTCTTATCAATATGAATCTTTATCAACGAAAAGCATTACACACCTGCTGATCAGTCATCATTTTTTCACTGTTTCTCTTTGTGGTGATATTTTTGGAAGAAAGAAAATATAACTAACATATTTCAAGAAAAAAATTATTATACCAGTTATCGCGCACACCAAAGAGTGGTCGAAAAGTTTCGACTTCTTTCTGTAAATTGAGTTTAATAATACAAATTACATATATAGATAGTTGATTGAAATACATTGTTTTGTAGAGAAAGATTAAAGCTATACTATGAAAAAAAAATAATAGTTCGAAGTTAGAAAGATTTATAAAATTTTAATGTGTTCGGCATTAGAGAGAGTAAGCTAAACTTATAATAGCTTTAGCTGTTTTTTATCCCGTCTGTTCATGCAACTCGGAAAGGTTAATTTTCAGCTATAATATGTGACGCTACATGTTGAAACATCAACTATCAGTCGATCAATTAATGCCTAGTTTTCTTCACCTTCTAATTGAAAACAGGATCAGATGTTTTTTTTCATATTCATATTCTTGCTTAACTTTAATTGTTCAGACATTACAAGAATATTTTTGTTTCTGCAGAAAAATGAAAGATGTGAAATGCTTAGTCGTATTTAATAAGAAAACCATAACTTTTCATGTTCTCAATGGGATTCGAACTACTAACTGCGTATGTATTTTGTATAAATAAAATTGATTTACACAGAGGAGGAGTCGAAATTTTTGGATCACTCTTTAGTTTCGATTATGTGTGCAGAAAAAATTAAAAATAAATTCAGTCGAAGTTTAACATTGTTAATTGAACATCCAAAGATCAATACTATAATAGATGGGTTCATTTCTGTTCTGTTCTTTATAGAATATTCTGATATGGAACCGATATCTTGGATAGAGAATCATTGGAGGATCCTAACTGAATCTGTTAAGGATCAAGTGATGGAAAGATATAGATGAATATAAGGAAAAGAAAATAAGAGAGTTATAAACTTGGGTGTATGAGTGTGAGTACTCTTCTTCACCCCACACTCACACCTCCATCCACGTAGATCCAGACCCACGTCACACCCTGCTTCTTAAAAAACTATAGGTCACATTTTGTTACTTTTCTTTTAACGTAATATCTCATATATTAACCGTTCCACAATAGGCTACTTTCCGCCTAGAGTATTCTCTGTTACTTTCTTGTGATGAACTTATATTCAGGTCTTGTTTTTCTTCAAAGAACGATCGTCAAACTTTTATTTCCTTTGTCGATTGAGTCATTGCACGCAATGACTCATCGGATAAGCCGATTATCATCTTCTTTCTTGACCAAAAATGCAGAAATAGATCATCAATCATCGGATGATTACGATTGTATGATTTGCCATTTACGATGTTCTTGCCTGAATGAAAGAGAGCAAGTATGTGACTTTTGTTGGTACGATTTTTATGCCAGTGACATAGAGCGTCAACAACTACGTAACTTGGATAATTTTCGGGATCGATCTGTACGAATTTGGTATACATACTTAGGCATAAATAAAATGATATTATCAATTTTGTCACCCTTAACCGTAATGTACATATTACATGATTGTTTTCGATCGAACAATGAGCGTTCTATGGAATATACATTGAAACTTGCATTGAATATATTTCCAGAGAGTGTAGTATGGTTGAAACGTCTCTTGAGAGGAGTTTTACCAATTTTATCGCTCACAGAAACTGAACGTATCTATAAATTTCCGGCGGGTATTAATCGTACAGCAATTTGGTATAAGATAGATAAGTGCTTAACAAATAAAAATGAAGATTGCCGTCCTATATGGAAATGGACACCAAGCTATGCCAATGAATGGATTACATGTCCACAACTTGAAGTATCCTTTGAACCATGGACGGGACAAATACCGCGTGAAGAAAATATATTTATAATACTCTTCTTACATACGTTTGCTCCTAATCCACCATATAGTGATCCACAATCAACTCAAAATTTTCTTACGAATGAACTAATGTTTAACAAATTATCGCAAACTCTGCTACATCATACATCTACGAGCAAAACAGAGTATTTTGAAGGGTCAACTGAATAAATATTTCATATTATAACGCCTGAATATGCGAAAATAATACACGAAAATGTTGACTCGATTATAGATTCCGTTCACTTTTTTTTCTTACTACGATCATGTTACGAGACAATATATATACTAGCATCCAATATCGGATTGGTCTAGGCCAATCTAGGATGCTTACATTGGACTAGTCCAATGTCGAATTGGTGCAATTCTGTTAACTAAAACATCAATTAATCTTTAAATAGACGTTGGTTTTGAATTATTTTTAGGTATTACGTTCAAACGACGCTAATTTATTTGATATAAGTGCCGTTTGAAAGATAAAAGTACAGTTTCCAGAGTTATGAATTAATTTCTATGGAAGAATAGCTTTTATGAAAAATGATCATTACATTGTTGAGTCTAAAATTAGCTTCTCCGTCGATATTTGCAATACTTCAAACGACATGGGCTGAACATAATTCCTAAAACTAATTCAAACCCAACGTCTATCTAAAGATTAATTAATATTTTGGTTAACAGAATTGCACCGATCTGGTATTGGACTAATCCAATGTAAGCATCCAAGATTGACCTAAACTAATCCGAGATTGAACTGAATCCGAGATTGAATGCTAACATATACGTATGTCCCTAATATTAATTTTAAGAAGATTATTTCAATAGAATGATTACAACGTCATGGGCGCATTCAGCATGTGTTTGCTTTATTCTAGAATATTTTCATGGGATGCAATTCTTAGTTTCTTATCTCAGAAGCAGATCTATTTTAAAAAAGATGTTAATATTTCGACTTACTCCTGATGTTGCTTAAATGTGAAGTTAAAAAGCACACTATTCGGAAGTCGATTTAAGAAAAAAATCAACGGGAGAAACAGAAAACTCCAAGCCCCTTGGAGTCAAGTGGAGTCACATAGAGTCTTGTAAAATTCTTGCCTATCTTCAGAAATTCATTATAGAAATTTGATACTGCTATGTTTTGATTTTTTAAATCATGTTTACCATCAGATGAAATAGATATTAGTCTCGATATAGAAACAAACATACAACATCTTTCTCTTTTTCCTATTCAACCAAGGGAAAACGGCAGACTTCACTTCTATGGAGCCCTGGAGTCTTGAACTTTGCCATTTTCCCTCCAACTAATCTATTTGAAAAGTTCTTTGACAGAAATTGTCCAAGTCAATTCCCAAAACAGAACAATATTACTGAGTACCCGAAAGTTGTGTTCTCAAAGTAGAGCAATTTCGTTCAGTTTTGGGAATGCAACTGCCCGGTACTGAGAAATACTGTCAAGGAAGAAATGACGAACTCGATTCCATGGAGTCCCACGGAGTCAAATGGAGTCATGAAGTTTGCTGTTTCTTCCTTGAAAAAATTGCTTTGCTTATTCGTGTAGAAAGATCCAGATGACTTTTCCAGTTCAGTAGACCTACCAGAAGTTAAAATGCATTATTATATGTAACTCCTACATTTATTTTAGTATCATTGTTCTTTAATCATGAAAAATAAACGCTTGTGAAACTAGAGTAAATAAACACTAGAATTTTATATATCGCTCTCGAACGATCTCAATAGAACTCTGCGTTAACTCCATGAGCACATTATTTTTTCCTGTTAGCACAAAAAAATAGTTAGCTAGTTTATAATTGAAAGCCTAAGTTGATTTTTGTAATCGGAAAAAGGATGTGTGTGGCTTTTTCTTCGGCAAATTTCGTAGAAGAATTTCAAAAATTATGTGAAAAAAAGAAGACTTACTTTTAAAACATAACATAGCGTGAATATGAAAAAAAAACACTTCATGTAGTTTATCAATTCTTGGCGCGTCAAAATTAATAGTGATTCTGATTGAAATCTTTCCTTTTTTATTTTTAGATATTGATTCCAATCTATTTTATATTTAATATGGATTCGAATATGATATCAGAAGAAAATCTTGAAGAATTCACTGTTATCTGGCTCGATTCTAAATCGTATTCAATTGATACGAAAGCTCGCTTACGTTGTATCATAAACTTTTTAAAGGTCTTCAATAATGTTGACGATTGTTTCAATTATATTTCATCGGTTAAAAGTGAAAAAGTATTTTTAATCACATCAGGCTTACTAAACGAAACAATAGTGTCGTTAGTTCATGATCTACCTCAATTACGATTCATTTATATTTTTTGTCAACAAAAAGGAAAATATGAGCTATGTAGTAAACGTTATATAAAAATTCATGGTATTTTCGATGATCAAGAAGCTCTCTATTTAATGTTAACACAAGATGTTAAAATATGTTCGAATACAACATCAATTTCATTCTTTAATAAAAATGAAAAATCATTGCGTCATTTGAATGGTACCTTCTATTGGTATCAGTTATTAAGAAAAACATTATTACATATGCCACAAACACATAATGCTAAACAAGATCTGATTGATATTGGTCGTAAGCATTATGCTGATAATGATAAAGAATTAATGATTATTAACGATTTTAATGAGAAATATAAAAAAAATGAAGCAATTCGATGGTATACACGTGATTCATGTCTATATCGATTATTAAATAAAGCATTTCGAACAGAAAATATTGATCTTATATTTAAATTTCGATTTTTTATTATTGATCTTCATAAACAGTTACAAAATTTGTACAAAAATTACATTGAATTATTACGATCATACGATCTCGATTATTTAACTGTTTATCGTGGTCAACAAATGTCAACGGAAGAATTTCAAAAACTAAAAGAAAATATTGGTGAATTAATTTCCATTAATTCATTTCTATCTACTACAACTGACAGTGCGATTGCAATGATCTATGCTGGTAATGATGCTAATCATCCTGATATAGTTTCTGTTCTGTTTCAAATAACAATTGACTTGAATATGATTGATAAGAATAGTGAGAGACCATTTGCCGACGTAAAGGAACATACCTATTTTATATCTGAAGATGAAATATTATTTTCCATGAGTACTATTTTTCGTATTGAAACCGTTGAAACAACATCAGATAATAATATGTGGACCGTTAAATTGACATTCATACACGAAGACAATGCACCGATGAAACAATTATATAATCATTTTACAATGCAAAATAATCAACACACAACAGAAGCTGATTTAGGTCATCTTCTATTTCTCATGGGTGATTATGATAGAGCAATTGATTATTGTAAACTTTTACTAAATGAAAATCACGAATCTTCTTCATTGAATATCGATATCGTTATTGAGTGTTATAATATAATTGGTTTGGCATATTCTCAGAAATCATGCGATGAACTAGCATTACAATATTATGAAGCAGCTTTTGAAACTCAATTAATTTATGATTCATCGAATACTACATCATTATCAACAGCCTATAATAATATTGGTTTTATATACCGACGATTCCAGTCACCTAATTCATTGGTTCGTAGATATTATGAAGAAGCGTTTCAATTACAATTAGATTCATTAAACCCAAACTATCCATTAATGGCAACAATATTAAATAATATGGCATCATTGATGGATACTATAGAAGAATCAATAGAAACTTATTTAAAAGTAATTGAAATTCGAGAAGAATACTTACCATTAGCTCATCCTTTAATTGCCGCTACGTATTCTTGTCTTGGTCAAGCCTATTTAGAAAAGGGTGATACTGAGAAAGCATTAAAGTATTTTGAACGTACAATGGATAGACAACAGCAATATCTACCAGGCAATCATCCTTCACATATAGGATGCTATACTTGTCTTGGTTTATTAAATTTAAGATTAGGAGATAAACAAAAAATTCTTCATTCGAATGATCAATTAGCGCGAGACTACTATAAACTATCGTTGAATTACTATTCAAAAGGATTGGATGCAGCTTTAACTGACATGAATGGAAATGACCGAGAAATGACGTCAATATTATATAATAATATGAGTGTTTCTTACATTCGTCTCGAAGAATATCGAAATGCATTCGAACATTTAACCAAAGCTAAAATATATCAATCTCATAAATATATTGGTTTATGGCATAGAAATATGGGACACATATGTGCAAAAGTTCACGACTATGACGCTGCTTTAGACCATTACAAGCAAGCACTAGTTCTTTACGAGAAAACAAATGAAATGCCCGATTTTTCAATTGAAGTATTGTATTACAATTTAGGTGAATTATATGACACAAAAAAAGATTATATGAACGCATTGATTAATTATGAAAAAGCTTTAGATATTGCTTTAATGAAACTACCACATGACAATATATATGTGATACAGTATAAAAAGGCTATTGAGAGAGTGAGAAGTACTATGATGGACAAATAAAATATTCTCTACAGTTCCTACTTTGACAAACGAAGGATGTGGACCGGGTTGTTGATTTTTTTGAAGAGTGGGAGGAACTGAAAACTTGGCAGAAACTGTCCCATCTTATTGTTCGGCAGAAACTGAACGCCAAAGGCTAAATTAATGGATTTTTTGAGAGATTTTGTGAACAGAATGCATTTTGTTCTATTTTCTTTCAGGAAATTGGTAATTAAAACTTAAAAACTGCGTTTCTGCCGGAAATTACTAGAAAACTTTCAAAAATCTGGCAGAAAGTCTGTAAGGTGTGGTTGTGGATGTGGGTGTGGGTGTGGGTGGGATGTGGGTGTGGGTGTGGGGTGTGGGTGTGGGTGTGAATGTGGGTGTGAGTGAGAGTGTAAGTCTTCTTTTAAACTACACCTGCACCCAACACACACACGCCATCCACACACCCTCACGCTCGGGCGCGGTTAAATTTCGATACATTCAATGATGAATAATTGGAATCGTTAAATATAAGACTAATAATAGCAATAAGACAATAACTGTAATTTGTGTAAGGTGAAAGATGAAGAAAATGAATAAGCACGTGTACATGTTGGTAATATTGTTTGGACAAAAGAGAGAAAAAAAGAAAGAAAATGAGTCACTCTTACATGCGAAGGAGGAGGAAATGAAACTTTCTGTTATAGAGCTATTGCGTATCGCATTATGAAGGAGTATTGCTTAGTAAATCTCAACAATTAAAATTATAGATGTTGCCATTTGTGCAACAGTCGGTCGTAAAGGGTCAAAATTGTTGAAAAATTTATTTTTCAATTTCGATCATCAAAATCCACTACTCTGTGTCATTTTGATCATTCATAAAGTTTATAGATGAATGGATTGATTCAAATGTATATCATGCGCTTTCATGCAGCTTTTCCAGATTTAAATTTATTTTCTTGTGGCAAAACTCATGTATACTCGTCTTCAGGTTGTCATGCTTCAGTGAGGACAGGTGTTCGAGGGTTCCAGTGTAGGCCTGCCTAAACGTCTTTCAATTATCTACAATGACATCCGCATTCAAACCAATTATGATTTTCTATACCACTTATTGAGAACTTGAAGTCTCACGCATGTGAGTTAATTCACGAAAAAATAAATATTAAACTGGAAAAGGCTGCATAAAAGCACCATATAGACATTTAAATAGTTTCTTTTCTCTGTAAACTTTACAAATCAACGAAAAGGCAGGAACTTGTGAAGTTTCATAATCAAAATAAAAAAATAAGTTTTTAAACCATTATGCCCTGTTACCGGGTCAGTGAATGTGACAAACGAAGAACAAAACCTCACACCTGCACACCACACCCCACACCTCACACCCATCCCGGTGATATTCGGCTCTCTTTCCTGTTCAGTTTTAAAGCTCTGATTCGGTCCTATTGAATGTGCACGTTCAACTCGGATCTGACAACCGAATACCACCTGATACATTACAGAGCTTGCTCTTTCGCATCACATGATATTGATAACTTGTAACCAAATAATTAGTGATCTTTGGCGAAGTTCACATCTAAAAAAATCGTGAACATTCATACTGAAAGTGATTCACTATCTTGAGCAGTGCTGCCACCTCTTCTGCTTTTAGCAGAAAAATTCTGCTTTTTGAAGGTTTTTCTGCTTTTTTTCTGTCGTTTCTGCTTTTGGGATTTTTTTCTGCTTTTTAGATTTTTTTGTCATTT